AGCGCGCGCGGAGCCGCCGCACCGAGCACGAAGGCGCCGCAGAGCCCGGAGGCTGACGGCCCTGCTCCTCGGCCCCCCTCCCGGAGCCGGCTCCCCATTGGCCGGCCCAGAAGCCCCGCCCGCACCCTGTGCACCACAGGACCCTGCGGCCCAGAACCAGCTCCCTATTGGCTACTCCCGGAAACCCCGCCCCCAAGGCGTGAGCCGAGGCTGCTGGCGTCCAGCAGGTGAATACCTAAGATTTCAGGCGCTTTAGCGCCGGAGGGGAGGGGGGACCACAGCTGACTCTGGCCTAGCCACTCCTCTTCCTAGCCGGCGAGCGCGGGCTCCAGCCACGCCCACTTAGCAACCAGGCCATTTGCATGCATTTCTGCCAACACGTTTATTGAGCACCAATTGGGGCCAGAGACCGCCAACTTCAGTCCTTAATGACCCAGTCATTTTTGTTTTACGGCGCCAGGAGAGCCTGGGACCTAACCCGGGGTTCCGACCCCCCCAGCCAACAGAGTGCGTCCTAATCAATAGGCCGAGACCGGAGCTGAGCACATTGCATGCCCTGAAAAACAAATGCAGGAAAAGCCTTGTGCTTTGAGTACTCGTATTTACAGAGGGCCTTACCGTTAGAGAAGCAGGCCTAGGAAATGGGCAGAACTCATAGCCTGGAAGCACTCCCAAAACAACCCCTGAGACTGGCTTTTAAGCTGAGGGTTAAGCGGCAAGAGGTTCCTTTTGTGCCTCCTCCCACTGGCACTTGCTGACAGCTCAAACTTGTGGGGACCCAGGCAAGATTTGGGAGAGCAGATGAGCAAGACCCCCAACACAGATGACCATGGGTGACCAGTCTTGGGCCTGCACATACACGCATCCAAGAGATGACAACGTTGCCATCAGACCTCATGTCTACTCAGGGTTTTGGGAGACTGGCCAGTGCCGAAAGGGCAACAGGAAGTGACACAGCCCTAGGCACCCAAACAACCTGAAGCAGGCCTGAAAATGCTGTGCCAAATAGATCAGCAAACTATCAGGAAAGCTGAGGACCCATTACCCCAGTTTCAGAAGCACCCATACATACCAGGCTGGTCTACAGGCAGCAAACAAGGTACTATGACTATGAGGCACAAGAAATCAGCCATCCTCAAGAATTCTTCATGAGGTGGGCACTAGCCTGACTTTACTCAATCTGAACCTGTTCTTTGGAGAAAGAGCCCCTGGGGCAGCAGCCCAGGGAGAAAGTCTTACTTCACTGAACCAGGAAGAGAAAAGTCCTTCCTGAGGAATTCTGTCCGGGGTTAAAAGCGATAAACTTCAATGTGAAACAAAAAGGAGGCCTTCAGGCAGAACAGAAGAACAAAAAGCAAGCTTCTTGCTGGGTACCAGTGGCTAATGCCTATAATCCTAGCTACTCAGGAGGCTGAGATCCAAGGATTACGGTTCAAAGCCAGCTGGGGCAGGAAAATCTGAGACTCTCATCTCCAATTAACCACAAGGAAACTGGAAGTGTCACTGTGGCTCAGCTGAAGAGCTCAGGGATGGGGCCCAGGCCCAGAGTTCAAGCCCCACAACCGACGCCCCCCCCCAAAAAAAAAAGCTTCTTCTCTGCCAGTGCCTCTTAATTTGACATGGGCAACTCTGAGGTGGGATGCACCTAATAAGATGTGGCTGAAGGTTTGCTCCAGAACTCCCAGCCCAACTTAACCCACAGCCTGAACTGATTACCATGACTAAACAGGCCTGGAGGCCCGAGTCCAGGTAAACTAACAGCCCCTCCCAGACCAAGTTTAATCTCAGGGTCTACCTAGGCTTTCTCTGCCTCCTCAAGGCATCTTTGGGAGTCCCTTCAATGAGTCACTCAATCCCAAGGAGCCTGAGAACGGAAGGGAAGGTCATCCACTCCCAAAGGAACAGACAGCTGAGGTATAGAATGGAAGACAGCCCAGCAGCAGAGGAACTAGGAAGACAGGGGACCACCCACGGCTGGGAAACAGCAGGAGACACAGCTGCCAGTACAGCAGCCAAAGCTACTCGCCCTCAAAGCCCAGAGCAGGTCTGGTCTGAGCTCCTCTCTGATCCCATCTGCCCCACATGGAGATCCTGGCCCCTAATGCAAATACAAACAATGAAAGTCTGAGGAGCGCTTCACACAGAGAAGTCTCCAAGTGAGAAGGAAAGATCTCCAGTGCCTTTCCTCAGGGGGACTTGTCACATGGACTACAGGCAGACCTCCAAGGACCAGAGCCGTGCCAGTGCCCAAGGGCCGATTCACCCCATCCTGGAAGGGCCTCAATCTGGTCCCCCAACCATGGTGCTGTCCAAAGACTCCACTGAGAACTGGTGTCCCCTAAAGCCTTAAAGAATCTTTACAAGCCAGGAATGTAGGAAAGGAGGCAAAGAGTGACAAACAGGAAATAGAAAAGGGGGCACCTTGTCATACACACATGGTCACCATGAGTTGCTGCTTCCCATTTCAATGAAGAAAAAAGATTCTCTGGAACAGTCCTGGAACCAGCATCAGGCACAAGGAAAAGCCCGATACACAGCACAGGTCCTGCCAGGGTAGCTGGGGGGAGGAAGGTAGGGCTCCTGCCTGGTCAGCCCTCTTCCTCATAGGGCGGGCTCCCTTGGCCAGAGGACATGGGAAAGTGCAGGCCTGCCTGGCCTCTCGAATGAGTCTGCATGTGGACAATCAGGTGATGGTTGCGGTTGAAGGCCCGGCCACACTGGGGGCACCCATAGGGCCGCTCGCCTGTGTGGATGCGCTGGTGGCGGAAGAGGTCCGAGGGCCGGCGGAAGGCCTTGCCGCAGTAGGGGCAGGCGGGACAGCCCTGGCTGTTGCCGGTGTGCAGGCGCTGGTGCAGCAGGAGGCTCTTGCGCTGCTGGAAGAAGCGCAGGCACTCGCTGCAGTGGTACACCTTGGTGGCCGCGGGCCTGTGCCCCAGGAAGGCCCGGCCAGCCAGGGAGCGGCGGCTGGTGGGCTCCGCGGGCAGCCAGCCAATGACAGGCCCGGGCACGACCACCTCCCCGGGCTCCAGGGTGGAGGGGTCCTGCCCCCAGCTGGAGGAGGCGCCGTCCCATGCCTCCCTGGCCTCCTCCACGTGGGTCCGCTGGTGGATGGTCAGGTTGATCTTCAGGCGGAAGCTTTGCCCGCAGTCGGGGCAGGGGAAAGTCCGCTCCCGCCGTCGGGGGAGGACCCGGGGCGACTCCCCCGCAGCTCCGGCCGCCTGGGGCTCCCCTACCGACCCCCTGGACATGCCCTGGGCATGGTGCCGCCGCCGGGAGCCTCGAGTCCTGTTTCTGGGCCCTTTGGGGATTCTACACGTAGGCCGGCTAGCGGCCTCCAGGAAGAGCTGCTCGGGTTCCGTCTCATCTTCAGACTGGGCTTCTGTCTTGACGGTCACCGCACCACCTGGCAGAGGAATTGACGTCGGCTCCACATGGACCACAGGCTCCCCGGGCTCCCACCAGGCCCAGCCTGCTCCCACCACCTCTGGGCACCCACAGAGCAGGGCACAGGTCCACACATGCACAACACCAGAAAGACCCCCCCCCCACCTCCTGCCACCCAGCCTTGTTTGCCACCTTAGCTTCATTCCTAGAGGGTGAGCCAAGAACTCCAAGGGAGGGGAGAGAAAGCTGCAGAGCCAGAGGCCTGCAGAGTCAGGGGTCAGTCTAGGGAGACAGCTGGATGGAGAGGTGGAGGGGAGACATGGGAAACAGAGCTCTGAAAGAGTCCAGCCGTGGCAGAGGTGCTAGCACAGTGCCAAGAGTTACAGCTGAGTATGAGCAGCGCCCTGACGCTTTCACCCTGCAGTTCACAGGGGAGGGGCCCGTCCACATCCCAAACGCCTGAAGGCTCACTGTACACTTCAACACCAACAAAGTGCAAGACAGAGGCAGTGAGCCACAGCACCTTTCCAGCCAGGCCAGAACTACGGAGAAAACCAGGACCACAGGTGCATCTGGCCCCGTTGGGGGGGCGGGGGCAGACCTCCTCCACTCTCACCGGCTTCACTCACCTGGCCCCACACCAGGCAGGACACCCCTGGGAGGGGAGGTTGGTGACTCCTCCTCGGAAGATTCTGCCTCTTGTTTAACTGAAGACAGAATGCTGGAGCTTGCTGAGAGATCTGCTGGAGAGAGCACCCATGAGGGCCGTCCCACAGCGGTTCCTACAGGCCCTGGATGTGCACAAGGGCCCGCCTGGACAAGGAGGCTACGCGTCCATGTGGAGGGCTTCCGAGGTAGCAAGCGCTGGCCAGGTCGCACCACCAAGCTCCCAGCAGGCCCAGACTTCCACCCGTGCCTCTGCATCTGAGGGCGGCCGGACAGAGGGCTTGTGGAGGCCCCAGGGTAACCTAGGACTGCCATGGGCTGGGACAGACACGGCCTTGAGGAGGGCCCACCCCTCCAAGTCCTGAGCAGAGCCCACACCTACCCGAGGGCCAGGGAGAGGAGCGCAGGGAAGGGAGGGGCTGCCCCGCACACCGGTGGGAGTCATGTTCCAAGGGAACAAGGTAAAACCACTGGGCAGAAGGCAACAGGAACTGGAAGTCAGGCCAACAGCAAGAAGGAAGGACAGGGGCAAAAGTCAGACTGGCCCAGTGAACACTGAGACAGAAGGAAAGTAGGCCTTGGGGGTCGGTCCCCTGCCACATTTCATGTCCAGTGCCCTCTGTGTCTGTTTTGGAGGAAGAAAGACAGCAACAGCCTGAGAACAGTAGCAGGACAGGGAGAGGGAACGCTGGAGCGGTGACTAAAGCTAGGCTTCCCAGCAGGACTCTCAAAAGAACCCTGGGAAACTGCCCCTCCCCCCACCAGCAGCCCCAGCACCATGCACGTGGATGTGACCACCGTAAGAAATCTCAGGAGGGGCTGGGAAGGTGGCTCATTGGTAGAGCGCTTGCCTTGCATGCCTGAGGCCCTGGGTTCGATTCCTCAGCACCACATAAGCAAAAAGAAAAAAGCCGGAAGTGGCGCTGCGGCTCATGTGGTAGAGCGCTAGCCTTGAGCTGAAGAGCTGAGGGACAGTGCCCCCAAAAAAAAAAATCCCAGGAGGCCCAACCTGGGCCCAACTCTTGCTCCAACCAGACAGGTATGCCCAGATCTCCCAAAGCTCTACTAGACCTCCTCCTGAACCTTCCTTGACGTCCATGTCAGAAGCACCTTTCCCAGGAGCCTAGGACCCTGTCCAGCTCAGCCCAACTGCATCCCCAGCCCCTGCTCTCCCCTGACTAGGGGAGAAGCGTGGCTTCTTGGTGCCATGGTTTGGTGCCATGCGTGCTACTGCCCCAGCTCTCCTCACTCACCAGTGCCTGGCCCAGGAGGGGGTCTTCTTACTTCTTCAACTCGCTGCTGCACAGGGGTCTGATCTTTTGGCTCCTCTTGGGTGGGGTTGTCAGAGCGAAGGACCCACTGTGGCTGTGGAGGGAGGCCTGGGGAATGCAAATCGATGACACTGAGCTCCACACCGAGTCTGCCCTGCCTCGAGGCTGGACCGTGAGGAGTGACTACTTGCAGAGTCCCCGGGGTCCTGAGTCCCCAGGGTCCTGCGATATCAGGAGAGGGTGTGATGAGGAGCAGCAGCCAGGATCCTCACCAAAGCCTCCAGGTCAGGGAACAGCGCTGTACACAGCCCGGCAGGTCTTTGAGAGGACCCTGCAGGGCAGAGCAGGGCAGGGCAGCAGAGTCTAGAATCTGGCTTTATTTAAGGCAGAGAGGAGAAACAGCTATGCATATGCCACCAGCTGTTTGGGTGCCGGCTGCACTGGGCAACCACCCAGTTGTCACCATTTACAAACTTTAAGTGATACAGCTCCCAAATGATCACATGTGCCCTCCCTCCACAAGCAAAGGAACTCATACGAGTGTTTGTGTTGCTTTAAGGAAGCAACTTGGGAAGAGAGATAAAAGAAATAAATATCACCTGGGTGCTGGTGGCTCACGCCTGTAATCTTAGCTACTCAGGAGGGTGAAATCTAAGGATTGCAGTTCAAAGCCAGCTGGGGCAGGAAAATCTGAGATTCCCAATTAATCACCAAGAAAATGGAAGTGGCGCTGTGGCTCAAGTGGTAGAGCACTCACCTTGAGCTGAAGAGCTCAGGGACAGTGCTCAGGCCCAGAGTTCAAGCCCCATGACTGACAAAAAAAAAAAAAGAAAGAAATATCAGCAAAAGCTTAATGGTAAAAGAGCTGAAGGGATCTATCATGTGACAGGAAATGGGCCGAAAGTCCACAGTCCTGGTCTCCAAGCACTGAGAACAGTTTGAAATCAATGAGCAGAAATGTTCCAACAGGAAATCCTGAATCACTGATGAAAGTGGTCCTGCTGACACACATAGCTGGAACTGTCCACACTGGCTTTTCCTGAACTGCAGGGTCCACAGAATACTCAACACAGGTGGCACCTGTCTACTCTGCCTTCAGTGGCATTTCTCTCCCAGGGGACTGGTGACATACGCTGGCATGTTAGAGGAGGTGAGAATGATGTCCAGGCTAGACCTGCGCTGGCTAGCATCCCTGCTGAGCAACAGTGGACAGCGGCAGTGCTGCTCCACACGCATTATCTACAGAAATGACACCAGATCCCCAAAACAGCGATTCCAGGATAAACCCAAAGACAGCTGCAAGCTCAGTAGACCCTAGAAATGTTAGCCTACCATCTTCTATAGCCTCGTCTTTCAATTCTTCATGCAACAAATACAGCATTTATCTTACTAAACTGTCCAAAGCACAAGATGCTGACTCTGAGCACAACGAAACACTGACGGGGGGAAAACTACATCAAAATATGAAACCCTGACAATTCAAGGGCCAAGGATCAAAAACAATTTTTTGTTGTTGTTAGTCATAGGACATGAACTCTGGGCCTGGGCACTGTCCCTGAGCTCTCCAGCTCAAGGTGAGTGCTCTACCACCTGAGCCACAGCGCCACTTCTGGTTTTCTGATGTTTTGTTTTGTTTTGTTTTTGGGTCCGGTCGTGGGGCCTGAACTCTGGGCCTGGACACTGTCCCTCAGCTCTTCAGCTCAAGGCTAGCGCTCTACCACTTTAAGCCACAGTGCCACTTCCGGCTTTTTTCTTTTTGCTTATGTGGTGCTGAGGAATCGAACCCAGGGCCTCGAGCATGCAAGGCAAGCGCTCTACCACTGAGCCACCTTCCCAGCCCCTGGTTTTCTGATGTTTAAGTGGAGATAAGAGTCTCCCGGACTTTCCTGCCAGGGCTGGCTTTGAACCTTGACCCTCAGATCTCAGCCTCCTGAGTAGCTAGGATGACAGGCATGAGCCACTGGTACCCGGCTTCAAAAACAAGTTTTTAACCATGGAAGGAAAAACTGAGGCCTGGTACGGCTGGATATGGGGGGACCCTGACAGCACAGAAAGAGCAGCAGTGCCTTAGCGCCAGAGTCACACTGCAAACCATGGCATTCCAGCCTGAGCCAACAGAAGGAATCCTCCTGAGACACACTTCAGTCACAGGACCCACTTGACTCTTTGGATGCTAATGTGCAGGGAGAGGGGAGGACTTTCTTGTACTTTGATTTAAATAAACCAAATGCAGCATGTGGACTTTGAGCTATTAGAATCAGCAAATATCTGCAGGAGGTGGGGGGGCACAGAACAGGCGATGGCAGCGCTGTGTAGCTACATTTAGAAAAGGACATGAAACACAAAAACCTGGGTGACTGTGAAGTCTAGATGATAATCGCTGGGAGGTTCACTGTCCCGCTACTTCCACGTTTTTTGTTTTTTTTTTAATATTGGTCCTGAGACTTGAACTCAGGGTCTAGGGTCTGTTTTTGCCCAAAGTTAGCACTCTGCCACCTGAGCCACAGTCCACTTCTGACATTTTGGTGGTTCATTGGAAATAAGAGTCTCAACGGGGCTGGGAAGGTGGCTCAGTGGTAGAGCGCTTACCTTGCAAACATGAGGCCCTGGGTTCGATTCCTCAGCACCACATAAGCAAAAAGAAAAAAAGCCAGAAGTGGTGCTATGGCTCAAGTGGTAGAGCGCTAGCCTTGAGCTGAATTGCTGAGGGACAGTGTCCAGGCCCAGAGTTCAGGCTCCACGACCAGACCCCCCCCAAAAAAAAAAAATCTCAAGGCCCTTTCTGCTCCAGCTGGCTTGGAATTGTGATCTTCAGACCTCAGCCTTCTGAGTAACTGGTTTTATAGGAGTGAGCCACCAGCACCTGGCTTCTACTTACTTTCAATTTTTTTTTTTCTTGTGGGTCGTGGGGCTTGAACTATGGGCCTTGGTGCTGTCCCTCAGCTCTTCAGCTTAAGGAGAGCACTTTACCACTTGAGCCACAGCACAACTTCCAGTTTTCTGGTAGTTTATTGGACATAAGAGTTTCATGGGGGACTGGGAAGGTGGCTCAGTGGTAGAGTGCTTGCCTTGCATGCATGAGGTCCTGGGTTCGATTCCTCAGCACCACATAAGCAGAAAAAGCTGGAAGTGGGGCTGAGGCTCAAGTGGTCGAGCGCTAGTCTATAGCTGAAGAGCTGAGGGACAGCACCCAAACCCATAGTACAGGCCCCACGACCGACAAAAAAAAAAAGAAAGAAAAAAAAAGTTTCATGGACTTTCCTGCCTGGGCTCACTTTGAACTCTGACCCTCAGCTTCCTGAGTAGCTAGGATTACAGGCGTGAGCCACCAGGGCCCAGCTCAAATTGTTTTATTTAAATTAAATGTTTTTTTCTCTTTAAATTCTGGCGGGAAATTACCATAGAGCCATGGGAAGAACAGGCCCCAGGCCTAGCCAGCCCCAAGAACCCATCCTTTGGCAGTTCACCTGTGTGGCAGTGGCTTCCTGCTGCAGGCTGAGCCGGGGGCAGGTAGATATGGACACCCCTAGTGGCGACAGTGGTACTGCTGTGCTGACATCATTACTGACAATCAGCTAATCATGAAGTGCCCACTGACTCCAGGCTCTGCGTCAGCCCGAGCCCTCCCAACCTACCCATGCCACGTGGAAGAGGCAGAACCATGGGGCTCTCAGGGAAAGCCCTCTCCCTGGCCAGCAGTGTGGACTACTCTGGATTAAGGACCTCAGCTTTCTTCCCAGCTTCCAGATGGTTCAGGATACCCAGAAAGACAGGCGCCTCCCGTCCTGTGCCCACACTCACCAGTGCCTGACTTCTTTGAGCATGCAGACTCCTCACTCCCCTTTTCCTGGCCCCACCAGTCTTCAGGACAAGGCTCCTCTCCCCTTTCTATCCTGGTGAGGATGTCAGGTTTGGAGATGGCATAATCTGCACACAGAGCAGGGAGGGGAAATGGGAAGAGGTGTGCTGTGCAAAGCAGAGACTGCAGAGACCAGCTACGCATGAAGGCCTAGACACTCCCAGGCGGCCTTACCCAGGGACACCAGCGTCTCGTAGTTGCCCCGCATCACGTGCTTGTAGAGCTCTTTCTGCCAGTCCTCCAGCTTGCCCCACTCCCACTCAGAGAAATACACGGCCACATCATCAAAGGTCAGGGGCACCTGGAACCACAAGGGTCACCTCGCTCACCCACACGCTCACAGGCACGGGCCCTTGGGCTCCCCACTCCAGGGCATCCAGAGGCTACCTTGGGGGCTTCGCCCTTGCCACCCGGGGGCAGCCGCAGTATCCAGAAGTTTCTGTTCCGCAGCAGGTTCTCCACATTCTCCAGGCGCCGCTGCAGCAGCCCGTACTCCTGCAGCGGGGTCCCCAACACGGCCCACTTGCCCTCCAGCTGGTTCCCAAACTCCACGGCGGTCTTCTCGCAGTCGGCCAGCTTCTTCTCGGCGGTCCCCGTGCGTCCCTCCAGAGTCAGCAAGCGAGCAAGACAGGAGTCCACCTTCTTCTCCAAGGCCTGAATGGCGGCCACCACGGTCCACAGAGTGATCTCCGTGGAGTAGAGGTACGAGCTCTGCTCTGCCGCTGGCTGGGGCGAAGGAGGACTGGGAGGCTGCTCTTCACTCATCTGCTTGTCCCTCCCGGGAACCTGTTCCTAAAGGGGATAAAAATGTACCAAACTCTACTTCAGGGCCAGCCATGCTGTTCACCCATAATAAGGCAGAGGATCATTGAGTTCAAACCCAAAGGACATGGAGCTGGAGACCAGCTGGGTCTGCATAATGAAACCTTGTCTCAAAATAATGCAAATGCTGCCCCTGGGCAGCTCCATGCGAAATCCTCCTGGGCACAAAGCAGTGTGCTAAGGGCGTGGGAGGCTGGGACACCAACCAGTCAGGAGCCCAGGCCGATGGCCAAGGTGAACCCTATGCAACGGGGCATAGGTTATAATGATGACAGCTATGGGCTGAAAGGTTGTGTCTCCCTCAAATCTGCATCATCAATGTGACAATACTTAGAGACAGGGTTTTTAAGAGGCAATATGGTCAGGAAGGTAAAATGGGAGAAGCAGCATTAACAAGAGACCTGGCTCCCTCCACCTTGACAAGGCAGCTCCCTACAAGCCGGGGAGAAAGCCCTCACCAGGAGCCACGTCAGCAGCTTTGGTCTTCACTTTCCAGCCCCAGAACTGCATTTCTGCTGTCATCCAGACTATGGCATTTTGTTGCAGCAGCCCAGCTAAGACACTGATGATGTAGGAACCCTACGAACTAGTCATGTGCACATTCTCTCTCCATCATCCATCATTAGAAGGGTGTCAGATATGGGACTCTTCCAGAACACGTTCAATGCCCAGTCCTGGCTCATGTTGCTGAGAGCATTGTTGGAAAGACAAAGTAACATCCCATCTCTCTATTGCCCTCATCCTTCACAGTTAGGTCACACCATCGAGTCAAATCTATCTGACTTCTGAAATTATCTCAAATCTGCCCTGTTTCTCCCTTCCCTCAGCCATTACCTTGTCCCGGCTACTGCAATTCCACTCATCTGATTTCTCCTCTTCTCATCTTTGCCCCAGCACCCTTTCTATAGTGGTCAGTACTCTTTTCAAACACAAACACCATTTCCATGGCCAAGTAAAAACGCTTCAAAAGCTCCCAGTGGTAGCCAGGATACCATCGAAACTTCACGCCACAGCGAACCTCTGACCTCACATCTGCCCTGTTATGTGCTGTACCCTAGCCAGCGTGGCCTCCCATGAGTCCCTATATCCAGCTAACCCAGCTTTGAAGAGGGTCTCACGGCTGGTGGGCAGTAGCTACTTATTCAACAATGAAGGAATGTGTTCATTCAGCAAAAATTATTGAACACCTATCATTGTAAAGGGACAATAGAGATGTTTTTAAAAGCTGATGTGATCCTTCTCTAGAAGAAAAATTCTGTATAGAAATGTTTGCCCTCCCTATCCAAAGGTTCTAGCTCCAAAGATTCAACAGACCATAGGGAAAAACTTTTTTAAAACAACAAAAAAAACCCAAACATTGTGCTTGGCACCAGTGGCTCATGCCTGTAATCCTAGCTATTCAGGAAGTTGAGATCTTAAGATCACAGTTTGAAGCCAGCTATGGCAGAGAAGTCCATGAGACTTATCTCCAATTAACCAGCAAAAAGCTGTGGCTCAAGTAGTTGAGCACCAGCCTTGAGTGGGAAAAGCTCAGAAACAACGCTCAAGCCAAGTACAAAAAATGAATAAAATATTCAGGAGGAAGCCAGGTGCTGGTGGCTTGCGCCAGTAATCCTAGCTACTCAGGAGGCTGAGATCTGAAGATCACGGTTCAAAGCCCACCAGTCAAAAAACTCCATGAGATTCTCATCTCCAATTAACCACCAGAAAACCAGATGTGGCATTGTGGCTCAAGTGTTAAGAGTGCTAGCCTTGAGCTGAAGAGCTGAGGGACAGCGCCCAGGCCCCAGAGTTCAAGCACCAAGACCAACCAAAAAAAAAAAAAAAAAAATTCTGGAGAGGTTATATGTAAACACTAGGGCTCCCTCAGCCTCCAAGCTAGGGAGGACTGTAGTTATAATAATAATGCCACAAATCAGGATAACAAGAGTCAGGGCAAATCAGTCCTGTTGGGAGTTTCTTGGGATAAGGTATGTGAGGGAAAGGAACAGAAATGCAGGAAGGAATGTTCAGGAAGGTACTGAGGTGTAATAACCAGTGAGGGGACCAAAAGATCCCAGAAGCAAGAGAAGAAGCAGGCTTCATCCGGTCGGGGTGACAGGTAACTGGACAGATCCTAAAGGCCTTCCAGTCCACGCACCCCCAGCAGGGTCAGAACTTGCAGACTCTCCCCTCTTTTTCTCTCCCTGGCACTCAGGGAGCCAACATGACATGCACAACACTCACTAACTGGAGGGAAGGAGTGGAAGCTCCCCTCAAAAAGCAGCCAGGAAACACCTTTCCGAAACTTTGCCGGGAAACATTACAGCGGATACTGATCGAGGAACTCTTCACAAGTTTTTTTAATGTGTCCAAAGGACCCGAGGACTACTTTCTCCGAATCAGCCATGCTGTACCTGATCTACCTAGCACGATAAAACTGCAAAAATGATTTAAACAAAATCCAAGCCCAAACCCCGAAGCCCTGTCGTAGGCAATCTCCAAGGTGGCGGCCTTGCAGCCCTGGCCCGGCCCGACCCGGGCCCCATCCGCTTGGGGAGCGGCCTTGGGCCCCTAGGCCCACAGCCCGCTCGCCCCTCGGGGCTTCCAGTGCACCGAAGGCCGGGGCCGAGGCTGCAGTGTGGGTCTGCAGCGCGACGTCGTCTGGGCCCCGGCCGGGGCCGCGGA